TAAAAATTGAAAATAATCAAAAAATACAAAACATAAAATTATCTTTATTATTATTAGCATAGAAAAGAAATAAGTTGAAATTAGTATGATAGTTCATTTCCATTTTAAAAGGTGATGATAATTCACAACCATTAATAAATAATATTTCTTTTTTTGAAAAAAAAAAAATATCTGAGAAATATTATTAAAAATTAAATGTTTTCAATATAATTCTCTAATAATTCATCATTTTTCATTATTGCCATCATCATCATCAATAACATTATTATTATCCTTCCAAGGTCAGCTGCTATATTATCATTTGTTGAATCTCTCCAGTAGTATAAAATAGGTCCAGGAATAGTTTAAATATAATTAGTCCAATCAATATACTTGAGTAATATTTGACCTTAAAATTTTAAGGTTTTTAATTTTATTTGAAATCTATGTAATGATAAAAAACCCTACCACCCATATTCAGCTTTCTAAATTTATAAATATTATTATTATCATTATTAAAAACACTTGCAGTATTGTATTACAGAAATTCTATTTGTTGAGTTTCTATCCTTTTTAGATATTGATATTTTTATACATTCACCAACATTATTTTTCTTTTTTCTTGTTATTCTTGGTCATCTATTTTTACATATTGTTGGTGTAAACAAAATTTTTGCAAACACCTGGAGTAATTTGCTTGGATGTATCAAACATTTTTACTTGGCTCCTGAAAAATATCACAATCCATTTCTATATAGCATTTTGACAAGAAGTTCTGAACAAACATCTAAAATTCCAGAACATAGCAGATGATCATATCCAAGTTCACCCACCCACAATTTACTCAAATCACTCACTGCACATTCCCACATGGTTTTCTCCAATCCCAAAGTATTATTTGAAAGCTTTCTTTTTTCACACTTCAAAGTATCTAAGTTCTTAATAGCACTGTTCTCCCTTGGTACTGCATCAACATTCAAGGCATTCAACGTTAATAGAGAGCTAATATCATCAAATGCAGACAAGACATGCCTTTCTTCACATAGCTGGTGCTTTGGGTACTACCACCAAGTTACCAAAAAATTGGATCCACCTTTGGCTATTACCATATTTTGATGCCTTTGAGCAGTGTTGTGCAATTGGAACATTGTATTTATTGATTTAGAAATTTCTATGCATAATTTAGACCGTGACATATTAATATGAATTTATTTTCACAAGACAAATATTTTTTAAATTTTAAAATTATAGAAAAAATCAAACTATAAATTAAAAAAAAGTCAGAGTGCTTGAAATGCTCAGACCCAAGGACATTGTGAATATTACCTATTCTTTGGGTACTCTGACAAAACCTAATGCTACTTTTTTGATAACTATTTATCAATAATATTACTAATATTTGTATCTTCTTTGTTTTCATCATCTTTGTCATCTTCGATTTTCTATCTCTTCCTTCTTTATTTTATTAATCCACCGCTGGGCTGCTTCTATTATTTTCTTTCTAGGATTGGTGAAAGTTTTTTATTATGGAAGCAAAAACTCTTTTCCTACTTCAAGTAATTGACAAATTTAATGGCCATTTAATTAAAGAAAAAAATTAGAATCCAATCAATCTTTTTATCAAATCACTCTGTAGACTTTCAATTTCTTGGGGATATTTTTTATCACCAGTAAGTTTGTTTTATTTTTGAATTGGCATTTTCTTGGTTCTTTTTTATTAATTATTTGATCAACTTTGATTTATATAATATTGAATTGATTTTTGTAAGTTCTATAATGAAATAAGAAACCAAGCGAGAGTACCACAAAAAAGTTCAGTATTGAAAGCAAGCATTTTTTTAATGTTGTGGATGAAAATATTGATTGTTTTTTTAATTCGCAATCTTTTTTAATTCGCAATGATTTTATAATCCAAAATACAACTAACCAACTTTAAATTTTATAGATTCTTGTTGATAAATTAATTAGTTATAAAGCAAAGATTATTTTTATTTAT